CGAGGTATTACTGTACCAATAAAAGCCTGTTACATTCAATTTTATTAAAATTTAAAGTGCTGGTTGAAATAACTTTAATTAATTTTTATTTAACACGGAGCTTGAAATTTTTGTTTAATTTTCTTCCAACATATTAATACAGGATTGTTAAACGCATCTGTAGTCTCCGGGCATTTTCTAAGAAGTGAAATTTCAATGAGCCCGCACTATACGTTGTTAGGGTGTTTCACGGTTGTTGTTTTTTGTATACTTAATTAAATATACATAAAATAAAATAAAAAATGTATTTTTCTTTACCATTGTAGGATTTAAGTTCAAATAGTAAAAAAAATCTATGTGTTTGTTATCTAAGAATGATATTTAATTTGTGAGTCCAGGTATTTAGCGCATTTATTAAAGTTTTCCAATAATTATTTCGGAGAATGAGAAATGTTTAAAATTTATTTGGACCAATAACTAAATGGTTTACCGTAATAGAATGAAATATTTAAAATTAAAATGAATTATTGAATTACCTTGAATTTGTGTAGGACACGTTTTGCTTTTCTTGCAATCAATATAACTTATAATGGTCAATGTATGAATTGTAATACATTCGTGCGGTTATGTTCTGAAGAAGTTATTTATAATTAAAAAAAAGATTTTATGATACTTTACTTGAATGAGATAGAAGAGGAACTTGAACAAAAAATAAAAAAATTTCATTTGAACAAAATTCTAAACTTTTTTCACCAAGCTTTTTGTATACACTTCAGGCTTGCCTTATCTCTCGTAGATCCCGATATTCTTTATATATTTCTAGACTACAAAAAGCCTGTAATACTTGAATGATGTTTGTTTAAAATGTTTTCATTTAAACATGTAGTGTACATAATTCGCGATAGTATAAAAATTTATTTAAAACTTTTCATTCATTTTTTAACGTAAAGAAATCAATGAACAAAAGACCAAGCTATATTGTTATCATTCCGATTATATATACTGCGTATTAGTAATAAACAAATATCCAAGAGAGATTTCCGCAGTTTTGGCGAGAGAAAGTGTGTTGAACCACAATTTGACATTAATCTGGGAGCCAGAGGTGAAAAGTTGGCGAAACGAAGCACCTTTCTTCAGAGCCACCCGGAAATGAAGGCTATCATTATGCATCGCTTTTGATGTGACAGTTGGGATGATGTTTGCCAACTTGGCAGAATTAATTTCCACGAACTTCCTAAATGATAGCTCACTTTTTCTCTCTGTTACAGAAACCCGCGCGGGAGGAAGAGTGAAAAAAAAAACGAGTTTATATCAATTTTCACGTTTCTAACGATGATATTTGTTTTCTTTTTGAAGGTGCTTAATTGGAACACTGACTGGCGGAAAAAATGGAGAAAACTTTCATTAAATCAACGGGAGTTTTAAATATTTTGGATAAGAAAATCACAATATCTATTATGTTACATACCTCGAAGAATATTTATATTTGTATATTATTTGTATTTATTTGTATATTATTTGTATTTATTTGTATATTATTTGTATATTATTTGCTTCTAAAAATATGATTGACATCAAAATTTAAATATAAAATGCATATATATTCTTTTTAATAATAATTTAAACAGAATAAGAAATAAGTGTGGTTGATTTGAATTTAAGTTTTCTATATTTTTATAAAATTGTAATATTTTACAATTAAAACAAATACTGGCTAAGTTTTCTCGCAGAAAGTTTCATAGATTTCTTTTCCAAAATATTTTAAGGTATTGTGAAAAATTAATTGAAAAACAAATATACGGAGTGAAAACAATTCCAATTTTCTCGTAAGTTGTAATAAATGGCCAAGAAACTAAAAGTTCGAGTAAAAAATAATAAATGTTTTATTTATTTATTTTAAAGTTTTTACAGCAATTTATCTAACGCAATTATAAAAATTGTAGCGAAGTCAATATAGTATTGTATAATAAATACATATAACACTTAACTGAATTATATGTATGATTTCAACCTTTTTCTTATTTTTGAAAGAAACAGTAGCAAAGGAAGAGTATCAAATTTCTGATGATCTATTGTTTCATTCAAGTTTCTATCCAAATTATTTAAATTTTGGAATTGGTTTTGATACAAATAGAATGTTTTGATCAGCCCTTCATTGTTTACACGGTGTATTACATTTACAATATAAAACTAAAAATAAACATTGATGTTAGCTTTCTTAAAATTACTAAATATCACTTTATTGCATGTATATTAATACATATTTTGTGTTCTAAATACATAGTACCTTCACTAAATGTATTTTTTTTAATTTTCAGGTCTCTTAACCAATAAAAATGCCTTTTGTTCTATGAAGTTTCGAATATGTTCGATGTTTGCTTTACACAGAAAGAAATCACTTTCCAATTCATGAAGAGAATGGCAGCGTCCGGTTCTCTTCAAAACAAATCGTCTGCCTCTTATTCAGTGTGGAATGAAGAAATTATCCCTCTGGATCTGATCCAAATCTCACAATCGCGATTCATACAAATCACAAACCATCTGACTTAAGATAGCCGCCAAATGCTTTGGCTTTGCTTCTGATGTTTGAAAAAGAATGCCTATCTATTATAACAGAGCCGTATTCTGCTTGCTATTAAAGCTTTAGAATAATCATTTTTTATAAAAATTCTTGTGAGAGATTGCATTTTGTAACTTTATAAAATCAATTAAATATCCTATATATGAAGAAATTCTTTAATTTGATTGATTAAATGCTTCTGAAATACTTCCCTTTTTAAAAAGATTTAATAAAAAAATCATACACAATTTGAAAGAGAGTTCTGTAACCCATTTCATGTTCTTTTTCGAAGTCAGTACTACAGGAAAGAAAGATATTAGGGAGAATTTGTTTGGAAACACAATATTCTACAGTGATTACGGACAGTTAAGAAAACAATTGCATTACTCTATAATAGTTTGGTAGTTCTAAGAAATATGTCACGTTTTTAAAATCGATTTTTAAATCAGTAGACCACACAGTTCTCTTGAACCAGAACCATCTTTGATTTCTTATGCACTGCTTTCCTTCTGCAAGAATTTTGTTACAATTCTGGAATTCGAATTCCCCAGCTAATACTTGATTGCAAACTCTTATCCGAAACAGAAATCCGTCTTCAATTGCGAGAGTTCCCCCAGAAATGCCCGTGACTGTTAGGTGAGCCTCGGCCCGACCATGTTGGATATTCTTCGCAGCCTCAAGAGCCTCGTGAAGGTGACCCGAACCCACATCGACAATGAAGTATTCCGACTGCACTACACGTTCACGGTGCTGGTGCTACTCTCCTTTTGCATTGTGGTGACCACCAAGCAGTACGTGGGGGATCCCATCGACTGCATCCACGGACATGACATTCCTTCGAACATAATCAACACCTACTGCTGGATACACACCACATACACCATACCTTCTGCCTACTTCAAAAAGGTAAATCTATTTTCATTGTTTTAATACACTCTTGCATGCAATATTGGGAAACAGTAGGAGTAATTTAAAATTAATGTTGTCTCCAACAGAGTTGAAGTAAATACAGTGTCATTCTCATAATTCCACCCAACGTTCGAAGCGTTATAGTAAAAAAATAAGACAAATGCTGTGAAAAATAGCATTTGAAAGAATAGAGAAACATCGCAAGTTTTATTTACATATTTTACAAGTGTTCTATGAGTGAAACCTTGGTTACACGGCATACAGCATTGTAATAGTCCAGTTCTTGTCATATTTTACTCAATATGGTACTATAGACGTTCTTGACAACACGTGTTATCTATTCTTTCATGCAGTTCTGAGAGGGTCAGAGAAATATTGGTCATTTTTAAAAAATAGGTTTTCGGATAACATAGAAATGATAACATGTGCTGTCAATAAACGTCGAAGGTACCACGTTGAGTAGAGTATGGCAGGAACTGGACTATCTCATACATGTATGCCGTTCAACCAAGGTTTCCCACAAAGAATAACTGTAAAGTACGTAAATATACCTTGAATTCTTTCAAATATTATTTTTTGCTGTATTCGTCTTAGTGTTTTTACTGTAGTGTTTCGAAACCCTGCAAGGAATTAGGAATAACTCTGTATGAAAAAATAATTTCGCTTAGAAAAATGTATTTTGTTCTAATGTATGTAATACTCGAATATATTCTATTGGTGTTTGTCAATTCATGTTTTTTAAGTAAATTTAAGAGCTCTGGGGGTTTCCTTCGTGCTTCGCCATTTTTTTTTCTAATTTTAAATTATAGTATTTCTTTTCTATTTTTAATTTCTAAGTAAATAATATGTAACACATAATAGTAATGAAATCTCTCAAATTTTTTTTTTAAAATCAAATGAGAGCGAAAATTTAGTTGCTGGCAGCAGCTTCGCAGATCTGAGCTAGCAGCCGAGCCCCACGTGTTTATAGGAAAAGGACGAGCATAAACAATGTTTCCTCACTTGTCATAATAATGCAAAGGAGAAGAGGGAGGGGGGACTGCATTATTTTAAAACGAAAACCTTCTTGAAGTCGGCTATTTTTGAAAGAAACCGCTGCTTTCAGATGCTCGAAAAAGGATGAGATGGAATTGAGCTTGTGGCAGAAAGGGGAGGAGAAAGATAACTAAGCATTTTTTTTTAAAAAAATTCGTGCTTTGTTAGTATAAATTAGTTAACGCTTAGTTTAGTTAAGCTTTAAAATACTCGTGAAAATTTCTGAAATTCATTCTGGGAATGATTCACAAAGTTAAATATTTTTTCAATTTCTACTATTAGTTCACTCTCTTCTTATATATATATATCTTGTTCAAATTTTCAATCTCTAATAAAATACTTTCTGTTCATCCATTCAAGTTCAAATACATTGTTTTAAACTTGTAGTGGATGGCACTTGATGTTAATACAGTTTTTTCAAATATTAATTCATTAGTTCTATTTAATTAATGAATAAATTGTAAGAAACAAATATAATAGTCCAACAGCAAATATAGAAAGTAAATTCTTCCGTTGTGTCCCTGTCGCGCAATGGGGAGCGCGTTGAACGTCTAATCCAAAGGTCGTGGGTGTGAATCCCTCCTGGAATGGCCTAATTTTTATTTCTTTTTTACTATACTATTTGATTAGAATAATTAAATTTAATTAATAAATAAATAGTAACAAAAAAAATAGTCCCACACCCTATATAGAAAGGAAAACCGCTTTCTGTTTTGTCACTTAATAGTGTGATTCTGTCATATGTATATATACATTTGTATTAAAATTGTAACTATTTAATAAAGTAACTTAAATAAAAATTTTCTTTGTTGACTTAAGTGGGAATTAACTTAATTTTTTATATTACTTGCTAATTGGTTGTTTGGCTGGAATAATTGATTTTCCTACTATCTTTCAGTTGTTAATTGTTGAAATGATATATTTGTGAAAGCTGCGTTTCTCTCATGTTAAGTAAACGGTAATTTTTAAATATTTACACCATGCTCTATTTTTTATTCTAAGAAAAATTAACGAACGATAAACACTTTTTTTTGGCTCTTAACTTACAAGTGATATAAATATTAGTACTCGAGCGGTAATTTAAAAAAATATTTGCTTAGCTCAGTTTATGTTTGTGCGTGGATCGATTAATTTAACTTACTATTTGAGGCATTTGAGGAACGGTTTAATGAAGTAAAATATTTTTTTGTTGAAAGTTTACGAACGCGCATATATGTAGTCATTGCTTACATAATCTGTCATATTTTAGTAGTTATAGAACAGACAAGAAATGTTTTGTACAAATGAGAAAACTTTTGCGTCACATTGGGGAGTTTCTGAGAAGCAAGTGCCTGCCAACTCTGTAATAATTAACAGCGCTTTAAACCATTCCTCCAATAAATATTTGTACTTTAAGTACTTGACAACCAATTTGAAGCTTTTCTCTCATGCTGGGTCTACTTTTAAGGGGCTTTAGGAGCTAGAATTGTATTTACAGGGTCTTTCAAAAGTAAAAAAGATCAATGATCCATAAATTAGTTACAATCAAGTGTGGGGAAACTTTTTCCGTTTCACGTTCCTTTTAATTCATAAGAAGTGCTACTTTTTAGTGCTATATAAACGTAGTTTCCAAACATACCCTGTTCACACAGTTTTCAAAGCAATGGTACAACATATTTTTGGCATCAGAGAGTAGTTTGATTAATATAATTTCTTCAATAATGGAAAAAAAGGAAAATATATTTAAATGATTTTGTGTAGTTGTTTTTAGTTTTATGAACTTAAATGTATTACGCGGTAATTACTTATTGCTCCAATAAGTCCCTCCTAAATGTCAAGAACTCCTAGTTTTATTTATTGAATAATAATTTTCCAATGACCAAACTGGAAACAACGATATGCTGAATAAGGAGATTTGGAAATTCAATATTCTGTATTTTCAGCAGTTTTAAATATTTACAACAGGTTGATTTGATTTATTGAAAAGACTTTTTAAATTTCCTTAAGACAATGCTTCTCAAACTTTCAATATTTGCAACCCAATATTCAATCATAATTTTCATCATGGCGCCCCCCCCCCCTTCCTTACAATAGCAATGTATTAGATTCAATAATACTATACTTTGCCGCCAAAGCTACAAAACGACTGTAAGTTCCACCGGCGTATATAAACGTCTCACTCAGCCAAAACGTTAATTGTCCTGGCCGTATATATACGTCTTTCAGAAGTACGATCTTTTCTGTGCGCTGCTATCCATAAAATTATTCCGAAAGCTTTGAAATGCAATGAAAGGACCTTGACAGTGTTTGCGAGGGATTTTTTTTATGGCGGAGGATTTGCTTATTTTTTCTTTTTTTCTGCTCCCCCCCCCCCCCCAAATGCATCAGATACGCGTGCCTACGTGGAAAACGGTGGTTGGCATTGGGGAGTGAGTCGCGTAACCTTTTATCGACTGTTAAGTCATTAATTATAAGCCGTACAAATTATCAAGATAAATATTAATGTTTTGTATATAACTTTATATAATACAAGCTCTTGGGTTCACACTGGCAATTATTAAACTTGTTCTTATAGTATTATTAACTATAATTAGGAAACACATTATGCAGTACTGATACATTTTTAAGTTGATTATATCAGTGTAAATGTATATTTTATTTTTTATTTTGTTTGTTTACTTTCAGTGTAATTAAGGCTGTCTTCGGTAAAAGTACGAGAGCCTTGACTAAGTGCGAAGCACATTTTCAGACAGAAAAATGCCTCAATTTCCATGGAAATTTGCAATTTCATAACTCATACCTCTGTTAGCAATAGAGGGCTTTTAAAAATTTCCTTTTAATACGTGAAGGCATAGCCCATTTAACATTACGGTATAGGAGAAAAAATGCGAAATACATTTTATACCAGAAAAAAAAATGAATCAACTCGGTTAAAAATGGGAAGTATGATTAAAAATATTACTCTTTAAATATATATAAGTGATTCCCAAAGGGGTCTATATAGACCCCCAGAGGTCTATGACAACCTGCAAGGTGTCCACGTCAGCGAAAAAATAACTTGGGGGTTCATGAGGTGTAAATGGAGGTCTAGGATAGTGACTGTCATTAAATCAGATCATGTCTTTAATTTTAAAAGAAAATTTAATCAAGTGGAAACCAGATTTACTTATTTAAGAGATTTATTTACTAAATTTAATGTAGTTAATTTGTTACAAGGATCATCATTTAAGCGTTTCTTGCCAAAATTAAGCTAAGAAGTATAATATTGGACGTCTTGAATTTTCCTAGCCTCTCAATTTGTCGCACACAATCTCCCTCGAAAAGGACGTTCTATACTACTTTCAACATTTAAATACCCTTTATTCTGATTTTGAAACTAGGTTTGAGAATGCTTTGACTATTGTAATACTACAAGAGGAAATGAATTCATATAGTCACATTAAAAGAAAAAATAAATGTCGTATTACAAGAAGAACTGCTCGGAATAGACATTAGGGAAATCTTAAAATAAAATTTAGAAGCGGATATCAGCAATTTTTGAAGCACCAAAATAGATGAAGCACACCTGGCTCATCCCTCCCATTAAAAACATTTGTTTGTAGTTCAGTTACTTTATGTAATAGCTATTTTATGTATTAATTAAATTTTAATTTAATTAATTAACGTGTGTTTTTTAAACACTATACTTCCCTATAGTTAAAAATTTAAATCTTTTTAATTAAATATAGTTCTATACCAGCTATCAAAATGACATTTAAGTTGATAAATTTGCAAAAATTCATTATTTGGTAAGTAGGGGTCTACCCAAAACCGAAAAACATGGCAAAGGGTCTAAGAGACAAAAAAGTTTGGGAACCTTTGCTTTAAAGGATAGTGAAGCCAGAATATCATATTAATTTTTCATTGCTTTTGTATCTGAAAAAATGTTCCGAATTCGGGTCCTATTCTTTAATATTAACCGAAAACAGCCTTAATAATTTTTTAAAATAATCTTTTGTTTAAGACTTTTCAATAGGCTCGCGCACCCCTAGTAGAGTTATCACGTTTCTCGTAGAGTTATCAGTTTCTCAAACTGTGGGGCGCGCCCCACAGTTTGAGAAATGCTGCTTTAAGGTGTCCAAATATTGGTCTTTCAGTGCTGGTCACTGAGGGAAGATTGTTAAAATATTGTTGCTTATGCCACCTCATCGACAGTAACATCAGATCAAAGTCCACAAAATTCATCGCGGGTAAGGGTTAGATTTTTTACGCCAGTCGTTAGCATTAGCTTTGAGCACCATACAGGTGCCAGCACGATTTTGCTCGGTTCCACCGTGATTTTTTGAGGGAGAACACCCTGGGGGTAGTCAGGAGGCTCCCTACTCTCTTCTCCTTCCACCAACCTCACGAGAGAACTTGAGACTCGACGGCGAAGTAGAGAATCCCCATGCCGCGAAAGCACTATACATTTACAAACATCCATGCCTTCTCCGGGATTTGAACCCAGACCCTACGCACCGCAGTCAGCGCCCCTAATCACTATACCGGATGGGCGATAAAATATTAAAAGTGTGTGAATGCTATCTATTTAAATTCATCAATGTAATGAATTGCGTATTGAATTATACTAAAGTACTGTAATAGTCACTGTGTGAATATCAACACATTTTTTTTTTCGAAAAATATTTGCTTATTATGGATGCTTTCATTAGGCAGTATAATCATTAAAGAACACATTGAACTATGCTGTTCAATTTTCGGATCACTCGGAAGACATTAATTGATTTTCCATCTAACAAGATATGCTGCAATACAGGCATGGATAATATCCAATTTTAGGTAAAACCCCTCATGTTTTACTAATTAAACACACGTCTCCCTTTTCAGACATTATTTTCTGTAACTAATCTAACAAACAATCATAAACAATTTAATAAAATTTATTTTTGAAATTTCGAATTGTTTCAAATTTGACATTTTACTGCATATGTTTTGCTGTTCAAAGCTTGTTCCTTTTTAATATTTTTTCATGAAAGTTCCATTTTATACGTAAACTTTAATTTCTCCTTTCTTAATTACTTCTCATTTTATTATTTTTTTAGGTATGATTTTTTATAAAAAGAAATCTGAAAGGAATTACTATTGATAAATTAAATCTTATATGAAATTTTAAAACAAAATAATTTTTTTTAATATCACTCTGCTTTGTTTTTACCATCAAAATCAAACACAATATTCAATTCAAACATTTTCGAGGTACATTCTCACAAGAGTTTTCTTTTTTTAAAAAAGAGGAATTTTTGGTACATGTGTATTGACTGTGATACGAAACTCTGTTCACATACAATAAATATTTTCGTTTTAACTTATACATCATTAAAAAATCGTAAGCAATAAAGTTTTTTAAAGGAAAAAAATTACTTTATGTTTTTTTAAAGTATAACACAGGTATTAATAATTCCATTTTTTCTTGAGACATTTTACATACACATTATTTAAGTTGACAGAATTTCCGTCTTGTATTAACTCTTTTGCTTGAAACTAAAATCCGATCAAACTTCTTAGTTAGTAAATTCAAAATTTCACGCTACACCTGGGTGAGTGAGTGAATATTAACGTAGCACTGTATAGC